TATGATGAAGTTGCAATCGAGTATGTTTATAATATATCAATTTGTAATATGAAATAAAAGTAAAATAAATGAAATAATATTTCACAAATAATTATAAAATAAGGGCAAGTTACACATTGAATTAAATGTGAAATTTTAAAGTAGAAAGAATGAAATGGCATTTTCTTGTAAAACTTTGTCCAATAATCTTTGTTTTATTTATAACTTCAAAAAAAAAATATTTTTAGAGTGTAATTAAATTCTTTACATGTGCTATCGCATGTTAGTCAAAATAAGTGTATGTCTTAAAGGGGTCATATGATGCGATTTCAAGTTTTCCTTTCTCTTTGGAGTGTTACAAGCTGTTTGTGAATAGACAAAAAGATGATTAAAACCTAATTATTACTCAAATGAACAAGCACACTACAAGAGTACATTTAACACACTTCTTTTTCAAAACGGACGTTCATCTGGCCTAAACAAAATCAACACATATAAGAAATAAATAAAATGGATGAATATGATTTAAACTGTAACCCTTATGTATCACAGCACACTTACTGTATGTAACTATTTAGAGTTTCTTAGCATTTGGAAATTCTGCATAAATTCAAAACATTGTATGTATGCTTTACATCTGGTATCTCATCAATAGGTGAATGGAGGAATGTTTGTTCTTTTGCATAATCCATTTTCATAAGATAACATCGTAAAATATCAACCTGATTTTTCAATGTTAAATATGTTTTTGGGTTATTAAAATATCCCTAGGGGCTTTCAAGTTCATTTTCTTTTGTTACTCTTTCATTGTACCACTGCTGCAAAAGCAATATGTCATCTTCTGAAATGTCAACGCTCAGTTCACATCAGCTGATCGAATCCAGTTTTTCTCACCTTGTGCAGGCGCTTCATTTTCTCCACTTTGTCCTCCAGGTAGCGTACGCCCGGTGGAAGGTACCAGAAACACACATTGGTATGCTGAGGCTGCAAGGACATGAGACCACCAGATAGTATCAGCTTACATTCACACAATACACACAACTATCACTCAATTTAACGTACAACACACGCTTGCATAAATAGAGCACTCTGGGGAGTCCATTAAAGATCTGTGACAGAATATGTGATTACGGGCCGTCTGGGGCCATAATGGGAAATTTTGTCGCCGTCAGTTTGGAAGCAGCCATGTAATCTATTCAATCAAAAGGCTTTGCTGTCAGGACTTTTAGCGCTTGAGCAGGTAGCTCATAGACAGACACTACAGTCCATTAGAGGCCCTCATCAGAATATGTGATTACGGGCCGTCTGGGGCCATAATGGGAATTTTTGTCGCCGTCAGTTTGGAAGCAGCCATGTAATCTATTCAATCAAAAGGCTTTGCTGTCAGGACTTTTAGCGCTTGAGCAGGTAGCTCATAGACAGACACTACAGTCCATTAGAGGCCCTCATCCTCATTGTGAGGCTCCAGGGGCCACACTAGAGAAGAATGCCTCCATGCACCAGTGAAAAGGACTCATTTGCAATTCAGATGGTGGGACACACAGACAAAACACAGATTGAGTCATACCTCAGTATGCTAAAACCAAAAAGAGCTTGCTAAACATGAAATTGAGAGCTGAAATGTTTTGTTAAATGTCATTTGATCATACTGCAAAACTGCAACCCTCCTCACCCTGCACTGCCCTGACTTTGGCAAGGAGCCTCCAGCCAGATCATTTTGTCACATTGGCACCAGGCACAATTTATATTTAAATGAGCCTCGAACGACTGCTCAGTCATATCAAGGGTGAAACATCTCATGTTAGATGAATTAGTGCACACAATCAGCTCTGCATTTGACAAAATTACTTAGAAATACAGGACCTGCATTTAAATTCAGAGCGGATCTTTGTTTTTTTTTGTTTTTTTTAAACACATCAAATAGGATTTAGAAATACTTTGTGTTTTGTATCTTTATGCAGATGTGCTATTTCCTGGAAAATAATTTAGGAATAAATTTAATAAATGAAATGAACTGCTTACATTTGAATAACTTTTTAACATTCAGAATACATTTAAATAATTCTGGAATAAACCACCCTAAACTTTACGTAAAAAAAAATAAAAAAAAAAAAAAAAATAAATAAAATATATATATATATATATATATATATATAAAATGACCATATATGGGTGGGTTATATTATATTGTGATTATATCACAATAATAGACTGACACAGAAAATCAATTTGAATTGTAGAACAGCAACCTCACTGTAAAAAAAAAAAAAAAAAAAAAAAAAAATATTGTGGGTATATTGTGACATTATTATTGGTATTATTGCGGGTAATATGCTAAGGGCGGTCAATGCACAGACTATCACTAGGTCTGTTTATGTGCTCTCTGAGATAACATGTTCTGTTTGCTCAAACTAAAGAACAGCAGAAAATGCATGCCAGTAGAAAAGGCCTGGTGTTATAGATAGTTTACTCCTTTGAACATTCTTCCTAATTCCTTTCCATTCTAATTTCTCAATCTCTACCAAATATAAAGCACTGATGACAAGATGCAGCAGAAGGCCAAAAGGCCATTAAATACATCTAATAAGACTTACCTTTCCATCAAACACCATCTTGTATCCTTCCCTGTCCTTAATCTTGTTGTAGAGATACTCTGAAAGCTCCAGACATTTGTCAATCTGAGCCTCAAAACCAATAGTGCCCTTTAGAGAAGAAGAGAGAGGACGAACATTGTGATAACACAATAAACCTCACTATACAACCAAATAATTTGGATGAACTACTGTCCCAAATGCCTTATAGCAGTCATTTAAGGCAGGCCAGCTGCCCAGTAAAAGTGCTGATAGTAAATGTTCACTTTTCATGGGAATGGAATACTGGTTTACTAGTTTAATTCAGTGAATGGCATCCAGTTATCTTGGTTATTTTGCATTTTTAATCCACTTTTGTGTAAACGTCTTAAAATTTGACAGTCAGCTGTAATTACTTCCATTCATTACACTAGAAATGGTCTATTCGGGAGTATAGTGTTGTTTACTACATATTTGGCAATTCTATTCATACAAAAAATTCATATACTGTGCACAGTGCACATGCTGCAGGAGCAATAATAAAAATATGACATGTTCATAATAGCATACTACTAAATACAGCAGTACAATATCATATTACACACACTTAAAATTCTGAATACTACTAGAAACTTTACAAGAATTTGTCTGAACTCTTACTCATGTTATCTCTTGCAGCTGTAAGAACACAAAACGTAAATCTGAAAAAAATAAATCTCTACAATACCTTAGCTCTCCACATTAGCCATAGTTTGAAGATGTCCACATGGCGGCCGCACTGCAGGGCCTTGTCCCCTGTGTCATAGGACAGATCATAGTGCTTGTCCTGCTGGAACAGATAACAGGCCTGCATCTGATTGCAGCTCTGCATCAGACCCTGGAACACATAACACAAAAAGGGCAAAAAATTACAAAAAATAAAATACCTTGACGTTAGTCAATTAAGAGTCATTAAAAAAGTTGTTTAGGAATGTGTCTTTAATTTTGAGAAAAGCCCCCAGCAGCATTTGCTGGCAGGTGTCACTAGATCACACTTTTTTAAAGTTTGACTTAGTAGTTTAATACTGGCCTCTGTAATAATGCGATGTGCTAATATGTTTTGGTTTTAATGAAGAAAGCAGACAGTCTCACCTCCTCTCGAACCAGCAGAGCCGAGCACTGCAAGGGTACAGCCATCATTTTATGGGGGTTCCAGGTCATAGAATTAGCCCTAAAATTGGAAATAATTGAAATACCAAGACATTGTCCTTGAAATAGATGAATAGCTATACAATCACTTATTTTGATTCAGACAATATTTCTCCCTTAGGCACTTTTACACAGAAGTTTGTGGACTTCTCAATCATATTTCAGTCATGACTACTCTCTGAATGAATTTAACAAGCATTTATTGATAAAAATGAGGTGTACATTAGGTGTGTTTGGTCTTGGCTGACTAGATATGCTACACTGCTGAGCAAGTACAAATACTTGCTCTGTTAAACCTGCTTCGACATAAAGATATTAGGAAACATTCTGCTGCAAAAGGTAAAGAAGAACCCCTCATAGCAGATCTAGACAGGTGGTGCTGGGGAGGAGGAGGGCTAAAAATGAGAATTCCTAGAGACCGTGCATCGGCTACAGAATACTAAAGAGTTACGTAGATGAAGAAGTGCAGCTGATAGGCTACTGCACCATCACCGAGAGAACCAATCAGTGCATGGATAGTGTTTCATGATTTAGCAAGACATTTAATCCATAGGAACTGCAGATTGTACTGACCTCTCGACTCCATTTAGCTTCCACCGATGTTTCCGGGACATTAGCAAACTTCCGCCCCATGCTCCCTGTATAAACACAGAGACAGAAGTAATTTTAAAAGCAAACAGAAACATGTATGTCTTTCTCGTAAAAAAGGAGGTTTAATCTTGAGATACTAGATACAGATGTATGAGATCTGACCCAAAGTATAATACTGATCTTTATTATATTTCTAAAAGTAGATATTGTAGTACATTTGTTTGCAGTACATTCAGCAATATATATATATATATATATATATATATATATATATATAGGTACATAATATTCTCAGCCAATTTGAGACCATAGAGCTGCTGCCTTTAGGTCAGATTAATGACGCTTAGTGGATTCAAATGCAATGCAAGTGTTTGAGCTTCAACATGCCACCATAATATGTCTGTGTTGCCGTAAAAATGCCAGAGGTGACAGCATCACCAGAGAAAAATGAATTATAATGAGGAATAAGATATCGCTATTAATCGTGTCAGCCCCATGAGAATGAATACAAACATGTACACACTCACATAGACTGAAGGTAATTCCTCTAATAGGAAACATTTAGATTTTATACATGCCATTTAATACATGCTTGCTAAATTCACCCTAAGCCACCTTTCAAACACAGCTTGTTCAGCATTAACAAATCATTTTCCCATTTTCCCGTAGATTATTTTTATGCAAAATATGCTGCAACCAAAAATTCTGGTTCAAGTTTCCTTGCTAGGCGAGGTGTTCTGAGTAGTTTCTAGTGAATTGCTAGGTGGCTGCTAGGGTGTCATTGTTGGTTGCTAGGGCACTGCAATATGGTTGCTATGGTGTTCTGAGTGTTTTTTTTATTATATTACTAAGCAGTTGCTAGGGTGCTGTTGTTCTGGCTGTTCAGATTGGTTGCTAGGAAACTGCAGTTTTTAAAATGTTCTAGCTGTTTTTTTAGTATTCAGTTTACTTTTTCAACTCAGTCTAACTTAGTGTGTAATGTTGCAGTTTGAGCTCGGACTACAGCGCGTTCCTGTGAAGTCATAAATTCACTCATTTAAATAATTCCCTCTAATGGAACACGCAAAAAAGGGGACGAGGCCTGGTTAAGCTGCGTTAGAGTCCATAGACTGTTAAAAAAAAAAAAAAAACACTCTGAAACGTCCTGTTAAATCCATGGTTGCAAAGGTTCAAGAGTGAAAACTTATTCTAGTACACACCAAAAACTATATCAAGACTTCGTAAAAGGGCATAATAGATCCCCTTTAAGGGCTCTAATGGAGTATAATTTAGAAGGTCCTCAGTTCTGCATCCAAAGAACAATACTTCGGATGTGCCAACACTGAGATCACTCTTGGATCCCTGTCCACTGTCTATATTTCACAGATGAAAAATTCAGGAAGTTCACGTAAGTTCAGGGAAGCAGATCTACTCACATCCACATGCATCCAGATATCATGCTTCTTACAGATGTCCGCTATAGCAATCAGGGGATCAAAGGCACCATAAACCGTGGTGCCAGCTGTGGCGCTGACAAAGAACGGCACGTATCCCTGTGAGAACGAAATCAGTGCATTATTCAAGGGCACATTATGCCAAAGAACCACAAAGATGATTTAAACAGACCCAAAAGAGACACATTAGGCAGACATGGAGACACGGTCATTGAAATTACCTTCTGCTTGGCTTCAATAATTCTCCTCTCAAGGTCGGAAGGAATCATTTTACCCCTAGAAGAAATGAGAACAGTAAAGAAGTCATATGGTTTAGTGATTATAATGTAAAGACTTGCATTTCTCAATTGTGCAGTCAGGAAGAAATGCATCAAGTAGTGGTAATTCAGATTAACCTTTCATCAGCTTTAATACAGATGACACTTTCTGTACCAATTCCAAGTGCGGCTGCTCCTTTCTTGATTGAGAAATGGCTCTGAAAGGCATAATCAATCATCAATGCACTAAGCTGCCCATAAACATACATCTATGTCACTATATATATATATATATATATATATATATATATACGGTATATACATACATACATACATACATATATAATGAGTAGATGACATTCAATGCAAATTTGCTGTCTTTAAAGAAAACAAATTTTTAAGAAAATGTGGGAATTGTCCCATGTGGTGTGACTATTTATTTATTTTTTTTTACTAAAATACAACAATTCTCAAAATGTGGACAGAAATACGGTGTAATATAATATATTATTGTATAATATTAGCATTATCTATTTGATGTGTGTTTTCACAAATGACTGGTATTAATTTACATATTGCCTTAAAGGGGTCATATGATGCTGCTAAAAAGAACATTATTTTGTGTATTTGGTGTAAGAACTACTTTGATTATTATTAATTTTATTATTTCACTCTTTTGATACTAATTATAAAGTCCCCTGCATTGATTAAGAAGAAGTGCTGTTTAGGAGAAACACCTTTACTACAGATTATTGTTAATTACTGTAAAAAAAATTCAATAATAATAATAATAATAATAATAATAATAGGATGATATGAGAATAAGATGAGAGAAAAAATGATAAGAGAATAAGATGGACGTACATGTTCAGATGTGAAGGCCACCAGTTTCGGTACGGATGACATTCCTTTCTCCTTCACCTCAGGGAACATTTTATAGCGAGCCAGCAGCATGGCATACATGTTGGAAATGGCGCCACCTAGAGGACAATAAAGTAAACCTTTCATTCCATCACTCAGGTAAAGCTTGACCTCTGTCAGTTTTTACTCAGGCCCTGAATGTCATTTACTCTGGTGCAACTGTCCACATTATATCCCAGTTGTGATTTGATTATCAGTGCCTAAAATCCGATCCATTCTGTAGGTTTTTTTGCAAAGTAGGGCAGAGAACGGCAGAGCAGAAATTGCAATCATTTGCATCATTCACCTCAAATATTTCTTTTTTCTTAATTGGTGTGGTTGGAATCATACATTCACTGTTGGATAATATTTTTCACAACCCAAGAACACAAATAACTGAGTTTGTCTTTTTTTAAGATCCTCAAAGACTAATGGAGACATCCTCTTCTATCAACTTTTGGCCAATTCCTGTGCTTGCGCTCACGTCATAACAGAAGCACATATTAATGTTGCATATTAAGGCAGGTCACACAGATTGACAGCTGCTTACCCGGGGAGAATATTCCATCACCGTGGCCATCCTGCCAGCCAATGATCTCCCTCATCTTCTTCAGCGTGACGTATTCCAACAGCACGAAGACTGGAGCCACCTCATAGGTGAACCTGTTTGCACAGAGATCACGTGACCCAGTTACACAAGCCAGAAACAAATATCATGACAAGCAAACATCAACCTGTTTAGCAACTGAGGGGATTTTGCAACAGTCTGCAGGTTCTCCAGCAGTGTGTCACTGTCAGCTTAAGACAGCAGTGGAAATTTAATTATTTCTGACAAGACGTGAATAAAAAAAAAAAAATCTAAAATATTTAACATTTGATTTCTAAAATAACCAATAAAACAAAGCTGAATAAACATGTTTTCCTCCACAAAAACTGTTACATTGTTATTACAATGTTATTACATTGTATTAAGAATCTGTTAAATTTAAACTTTAATTCCCAACATAAAATGATTGTTCTTATTAGCCTGAATGTACATTTCATTTCCATCTCATTTTCTCTCTGTGAATTGCACAAGATGAGAGAGTGGAGGTTATATTTGCTGGTCTTAATTCATCAGCCTTATTCCATTCAACTGATATCTGCGAGGTTAAGCCAGCCACCACAAAGACCAAGCCAAAATAATGCGTATGAAGGCAGAGAAAACGGATCTCAACCCGCTTTGTATTTTAATGGAAGGAGACACACACTCACATATTGGTGTTGGCAGTGGACGTTAGCCAATCTGCAGCCAAGCCAACCATGTCTAACCCAGTGGAGAGCTGATTGAAATATCTGGGGTGTGCTGAAGGTAGAGACAACATAGTGCACAAATACAAAATTAATAATTTAACGCAAAAAAAATAAAATAAAACCCATGCACCATTAATCTATAATCTATTTATGGCTCACGATTAATAGTCAATTGTGGCTTGATGTGAAACACTTCAGAAGGAGCTCAAATGAATCTCAAGACCGGCGCAGACAGCAAGGAAATACAATCAATCTTTCTGATCATTCATAATTATTCCCAAAACGAAAATCACTTTTCGAAATAATGCCTCTCAGTCATAATGCCATCAGAGAAAATAAAATCGTCCCTAGACGCATTCATTTAATATCAAGTCATGTTCTGCTCTGATTCGTTTCGCCTTCAGGCACAAACACACACTGATGCTTGTGGGTCTGTGAGCTGAAAATAAATTCTGTTTCACAAGCGAGACACTCAATAGGTTAGCATAATTTATGTAATGTAGCCTAGATTATATAGAGATATAATGAATATGAATAATGCAATACACAATTATATATATATATATATATATATATATATATCCTAGTATGAAAACTATTATACGCTGGGGAAAAAATAAATATGGTAACATCTGTATTAATTGGCTTCTATTAAAGTCAAAAATATAGATTAACATCTCTGAATCAACCTAAATACATTGATTTATACCAACACAATTATTTGTATGGGTTAGATACAATAGAAATAACTATTTTAAGGTAACAATTGCATGTTGCCACTTTTTACGGTGTATATTGCTTATGAAATTACAAATGAAAACGCTTACCCGTTTTTATGGCGTATTTTAGCGTGGCGCGACAGCTGATCAGAATATCATCTAGAGTCTCGGGTTCGTCCGAAAGCTCAGATGCCATCGCGTACAGAGCGGATCAGAGCAGCGACAGAGAAACGCGAGCAGCAGCCATCCAGACGCGCGTCAAGGGGGAACGGGAGCTGTCCGCAGCCGTGGTGCTGAATCCTGCTCAACGCGCCGGAAATCCAGTTGCGTGCGCGATGTATTTACAGTCACACCTATCCAAACGCGTCAAATCAAGTGCTTTAATTGCTAAAGTGCTCTTCAAAGATATTCAAAGCCCTCCGATGGAGAACAGTCGAGACAGAGCGTCTATATTCAGGTGGTGCGCCGTGCGCAATGATTTGGAGCAGCCGGAGACCGTCACTGAACTCATGGAGAAACGCTGGCACTGATGGAAACACAGGCATCCAATGGCTCTCATTCTCTTTCACATATCTCAGCTGCAAATGCAAGTTGAGTGTGCACAGTACATTTGAAAAAGCACTTCTTGCAATACGTTGCGCGAGCTCTCCAACATGCAAACTTGCTACTTTAGTGGTAATAAAAGCTTCTTGTGGCGTAAAGATAATCCGCTTCACGTCACCAAAGAAATTCCGACGCGATTCAGGTCATAACGAACTATTTTGCGTAGTTAATCGTGACCACACACACTAGTCTATGCCCCTCCTGGCGCACCGCCCGCATCTGTGCTGAAGGCACAACAGTTTTTTTTTTTTTTTTTTAAGATTCTGTAATTTGCTTTTCTCCAGCAGTGAGCAGACTTCATCAGAAGCAGGAGGAGCAGCCGGGCTGCTCCTTGGACCATGACATTCAGATCTGCGGTCCACATCCATGCCCGTTTTTATAATCAAACCATTTCCAATTAAAAAGGAAACTGGAGACCCAGTTTCAGACCTGAACAGGAAAACCTATAATTAATAAAAACATTACTGTGCATTTATTTATTCACAATACCATTCTCAATTGTGTGTGGCGATCGTGCGCAATGGCACACGTCATTTATTTCGCATGCATTTAATAAAATGAAACCTTAAATAAAGCAAAAATTAATTACGGTATAATTATATTATAGTATGTAGAAAATAACAGGTTACACAAAATAATAATAAAGCAGAAAATAAGCGTTTTTCTGCCCACTTACATTAGATTGGTGAGGAGAAAACGAGAAAAATCACATAGAAGAGCAGGTCAAGAGAGCTGCATTGGGAAAAAAAAATATATATATAGTATATATAAAATTGTATATATATATACACTCACCGGCCACTTTATTAGGTACACCTGTTCAATTGCTTGGTAACACAAATTGCTAATCAGCCAATCACATGGTTATGATATGATATGTAAAATAATAAAGTATTTAAGTGTTTGGAATATATAAATATACACATATACACACACACACACACACACACACACACACACACACACACACA